CAATATAGTACAAGGGCTGACAAGTTCTATCATACAGAATATGCTTCAAAATGGCTTCATGAAAATTAATCTCATTATGCAATGTATACACAAACTTTGAAAACCTGCACAGTATTAAATACTGTTAATAAAACTCCATAATTTCCCCAAATACTGTACTGGTGACTTATTTTTCTATTTTGAAATAATTATTTTTTCTTTTATAAAGCATATTTCCTTTCAACTGCCAAAGCTATTGTAACATACTGGAGAGTATGGTACAGTAGAGAGAATATGGACTTGAAGCCAGGAAGACCTTGGCTCTGACACTTACTAGTTGTATGCACATGGGTGGGTATCACTTAGCCTCTCTAAATTTCAGTTTCATCAGCTGTCAAATGAAGAGGCTGGATTGGTGGTCTCTAAAATTCCATTCAGCTAACGATCTTACTTAGGTTCAAAAGACTTCAGAATTGGAAAAGCCATCTTAAGGATTATCTACTTCCTACTTTTCGAGTCTTCTTATGCATTCCTTCCTTCCATGTACTCTATGGCCCTGCCATCCTGGCTTACTTGCTGTTCCTCACATGTGATAATATATCTCTGTGTTTTCACACTGGCTGTCATCCATGCCTGGAACACTTCACCTCTGCTTCTTGGAATGTATGGTTTCCTTTAAAACTCAGTTCAAATGCCTCTATAAGAAGCCTTTCCCGATCTCTCAACTGCTAGTAGCCTCCCTCCTAAAATTATCTTGTATTTTTAAAATATATTCTGTAGAAATTACACACACAATCTTTCTCACAATCTCTCTCTCCCCCATCAGAGTGTAAGATCTGTGAGGGCAGGGACTAGCTTGCTTTTGTCTTTGTATCTTTTATTTTATTGCACAGTGACCAACAAAGAGTAGATGCTTAATAAAAATTTTTAAAAAGCAAGGTGCTTTTAATGATTAATCCACTCCAATCCTCTCAATTTACATCTGATCATACTGAGGCCCAAAAGAGATTGTAACTTTCTCAAGGTCACACAACTGCGAAGTAGCAAAGGTGAAGTTTAAGCCCAGGTCCTCTGACTCCAAATCCAGTGATCTTCACATGATTATCAACTGAGATAATACATTTAAAGGGTTATATAAAATTTACAGTGATATGTGAATATCAATTATCATACTGTGAATCACTGTTTGGAGGAAAGGGGAACAAAGTCAGAGCATAATATCACTAGATTTTCCAGTTCAGCTTCAATAATCTTAGTTTCTTTTAGGTTGTACCAATTAACATGATTCCAAGGAATTCCACCCAGAGGATCAAATATTTTCCCTTCTAGAAAGAGCTAAACTATACCTTTTGCCAGATTAGCTCTGTGCCACGAAAAGGATCCTGGTTTCCAAGCTATCCGATAAAGCACCAATAAAATCCAATAAATTACTTTGTGACTTCATAATTTAGCAGCTTAGCTTACATGTATAAATAAATACACACACACTACTATACATTAGCCCAGAATATCACATAGTTTGTATACCAATGCAGCACTAAAACTACATATACTGAGAGGCATCTGCAGTCAGGCTTGAAGTCAAGAAGGACTGGATTCAAGTTTCTCCATTCCTTGCGATCCCTCCCCCCAACCATAAAAGATTTACATGCACGCATGCACACACATACATGCACATCCACACTGTGTGACCCTATGCAAGTTACTTTACCTCTTAATGCCTCAGTAACTGAAATTTTTAACTGTGTAACAGCAAATACGTGTAAGGAATTCTCCTAATATTGCTTTAGAAAAGTTCAGGACCATTTTACATATAGGCAGAATAAGCAGCCACCTACCTGTTAAGATTAGAAGACTGCTAGGGTTGATTCCCACCAGAATGTCTCTTTCACTAGCCTACCCACAATGCCTGAAATTGCATCATTAGAAATATACTCTTTTGGGTTACAGGTTGACTCCACTTCTAGATTCAGTGCCTTTTAGAATCTGCTTTAAATCAAACCACAGTAGGGTGAGAACACCCACTGACAAAACTGAGGGGGTTAACATGGTAGAGTTTATAAAGTACAGGTCTTCATTTTAGGCAACATCAAATGATCAGAGGTGAAATGCAATGCTAGTAAAAAGTAAAAGTGGAAATTCTATTACGGAATCCTTCTTTGTTGGCAATAATAAGGTTTTTTTTATTAGACTGTAAATTAATTCACAAACATAAGCACAAATGTTATTAAATCTTGGCTAAACGCCCTCTTCAAAGAAACAAAATAAAGGGATGGTTAAATGATAGGTTCATAATTGGTAATGGGAAGGCTTTAGATGTTCCTTCAAATGGCTATCTTTGGCCTTATTTATCTTTATATCGCTTCTGGAACCCTGTGGGTCCTGACACATAGTTTATAGTAAATAAATACTGGATGAGTAAGTGAATAGAATAATGAATTAAGATAACAAAAGAACAAATTTACTTGCTTTACCAGTTATATATACTTGCCTGGCCTTGAGCTCATAATATATATTAAACCTCAAGATTTGTGAAAGAAAGGAAATTTAAAGAACAAATGTGACTTCTGTTGATTATAAGTTTTGAAATAAATACCCAAATTAACTACAAAGGAAGATGCTACCTGCATCTAGAGGAAGAAATGACAAATAGAAGTCTGTATAGTATGGTTTTATATTTATATATAAAAATACACACACACACATTTTTGTTTAATGGTAGCCATCTCCAGGGTGAGGAGAGGGGTGGGGTGGGGTAGGGAAGAAAGTTACATGATAACTTCATTTTATATACATACATACACACGCACACATAAAAAATTAAGTTATCATGTAACTTTCTTTTAAATATATATATGTATGTATGTTATGTATGTATGCATGCATGTATGTATTTTTGGGAGGTAAGTGGGGTTAAGTGACTTGCCGAGGGTCACACAGCTAGTAAGTGTCAAGTGTCTAGTCTGAGACTGGATTTGAACTCAGGTCCTCCTGACTCCAGGGCCGGTGCTCTATCCACCATGCCACCTAGCTGACCCTAACTTCATTATATATTTAAAAGGAAAAGTAAGTTGTATCATCTGGGTGATTTGTACATCATCATATACAATAGATTTGCAATTTCATGTGAAAAGAAAATTTTTTAAATGAATAAATAACCTGTACTTGGAAGCCAATCAGCTGTGATGTACAGAATAAGCCAAAAGCTGTGTACCCTACGTTGAACATCAATTAACAAGTAATTATGGAGCACAGTTTACCCCCAACTGATTAGAAGGTTTCTTAAAACAACTAACATCTTACACTTCTTCTATAACCCTCATGATGATTAACATAGTACTGAGTATACTATAGTCCTACAATAAATACCTGTTAGTTGATTGTCTGATCTCTCCTTCCTGCTCCACTGTAATAGAAAACCAAGGCAAGCAACGTGGATAGCTATCTGAATAGTGTTTTCCTTGTATCCTCTGATGCATGTAGAAGGAGCCAAGGGGCTAAATCACATGAGGACAATAAAGATGAAGCTAACAACTTCTCTTCCATAGCAAAAAGATTAATATCCTAATTGATTTTCCCTCTTCTTTCACTTTTTCCCTCATGTTAATTTTTATCTTTTTTTATCCTCCTCTTCATTACCTTTTACTATCATCTATCTTTTCTTTCTATGCTCTGCTTAATAGCTTTCTCTTATTTTCTCATCCTCCTCCCCTTCTTCTCTCCATCTTTATTATCGAAATCAAGCAACTATTTTTCACATACCAAAAACTCTGTTTTCTCTGTATGACATGTCATGAAAAATTTTAACTTTAGGAGATATGAAATAATGTTGGAAAACTGGCAGAACAAAGACAGTAAATTACTTTTAAATGACATTCTATAGATTCAAGAGACATATCCTGAATTACGGGAACTAAGATGGAAGTGGAAATTTTGATAAGATTCTCCCACATACATGTAGCAAACAGCTTGTTCTATACCAGATGTTTTCTTGGACTCTTTTGGTTGTTATATCCATCCTCTATCCTCCCACTTACTAGGTTGGCTGCACCTAAAAAGTGTTTTACAATATAACCTTGATATAGCCATATAAACTTGGAATTGGTCCATAAAATGACACACTGAAGAAACCAGAATAGGGAAACAAAGAATCCAACATAAATCAAGAAAATGATCAATAATGCAATCACTATAGCAATACTAAGAGTATAAGAACAAGTTCTATATCCAGACTCCAAACTGGTCAAATCAATTCTTTTACCCTCTTAGACCCTGGACCATATTAGCTATGTGATTGAAGTGGTAGAAATGTAAACTTTGTTCAGAACATACAGATAAGTAGGTCTCTTAATTACAAAGGTAGGATGCTTTAATTCAATTCAGCAAACACTTTTAAAGCACCTACTATGTCCAATGATTTATCCTACCTTCTGGAGGGACATGGAATTGTATCTAATTTGTAGAACAAAATCATTTCTCTGTACAACCTCCAAGAATTTGGCCTTTATCACAATTTATACTGGATACCCCAGTAAATTCCAGCTGGATCGAAACCATCCATCATAGAAAGAATTCCAGAAAAAAAAGGAAGAAAATGGAATGAAGTATGTCTCAATTATGTAGGGGGGAAAGAATTTTTTAATTCAATAATTGGAAGGAATTTGGGGTAGAAAGATGGATATCTAGACTATGTAACAATAAAATTTTCTAGAGAAAAATAATTAAAATTAAAATAACAGGCTGGAAAAATATTTGAATACATATGGCAGATATGAATTTGACCTACAAAATGGATAAAGAATTGTTTAAAAGTCACAGTAGTAATTCACAGTTATTAAAAGATAAATGGTCAGAGAATAGTATAAGTAATCTTCAAAAAAGGAAATACAAACTGTCAATAATTACTTTTTAAAAATGCTCAACTTCACTGATAAGCCAAGAGATTCAAATTTAAAACAACTTCCAGGTACCACCTCACACCCATCAAACCAGCATAAATAAGTAAAAGCAATGAAACTCACTGCGGCGGGATTGTGGAGAAACAGGTACATTCATTCATTGCTGGTGGAATTTGCAAACTTGTAGAATCTTTTTGGAGAGGAATCTGGCAGTACGCAGTAAAAGTTATAAAAATAATCATACACCCTTTGACCCAATAATTCCATTGTTGGTAAAATACCCTGAAAGTGTTATCAAAAACAAAAACAAAAAAAGAGATATCTGTTCAGACTGTCATAGCAGCATTATAAGTAATTGCAAAAAACTGGAAGCAAACTAAATATCCAACAATTAGGAAATAATTAAATCAACTGTGCTCCATTAATGGGATATGATAATGCAATTAAGACTAACAAGTATGAGGAATACAAAGAATTCTGGAAATAATGAAAACCAAAAAAGTAGAAGTAGGGGAATGGAATATACACTAAGTTCATATGAGAAAAAGTACATGAGAACAAAAGGGTAAAGAATCTTGATGGTAAAATTTCGGTAGTGATTGCAATGTGATAGTTTACGCATTAAAGTTAATTTAAATATAAACAGTTAAGCAATTTTGGTTGTGCTCCATGTTAGGTTTCTAATCAAACATTTCATCAAAACAAGTAAAAAATCATAATGCTTTAAAAATAATTTAGCCCTTCAAAAACCCCATAAAGAGAAGATACTCAACCATTTCACCTTTAGGTGTTCCAACCTCCTAACTCTTCTCAGGCGACTGCATTTATCATATGACTCTGAAGTTTTGGGGTAAAAGTGCATTTCATGTTAAAACTGATTAATGGGCTCTTGATAGACACATACTCTAGTACCAAAACCACAAAAGGGCCCCTAAAACTCAAGGTCCCTCTGAGGATTACAGAATTCTTCTCAGATAATTAATATAGTATTAAGTAGCTTCACATCATTGCTGGCGTAATCTATTTTAATTTACTCCTCAAAAGCTTCATATACAACACATGAGATTCCTTCATGATGAAGTGATCCTTCATAGAACATGCCCCACTCCCGGCTTTAAAGACTCCTTTATCGTTTATTGATTAAACTTATTTATTTCTCTTCAGCAGTTCTTATTAAGAATTCAGATCAGCTCCTACTAATGTTGACAACCAAAGCAGCCTGACAAGGGAAAACTTTTTTTTTTCTTTTTTCAAATTGATTTAGCTTCAGGAGTAGGGTGGAAAGAAGAGGATTTAGGACAAGGGAAGATGTAAAGGAACAGAACAATTCATCAAATATCACTTACTATAAAATAAGGAAAAGCACAAAGAAATGTTATGAAACCATTACGACAGCAATGGTTCCCCAAAACACTTTGATTATCAAATGTAACCTAGATAAGCACTGCATTATTATTAGTTCTATAGGGTACAGGTCATATATAATATATGTATCAGTGTTCCAAAATTCTTTAAGTCATCAGACATTTATTTCGCTCTTATTGTGTGAAGAGAGCTGTGCCAGGAACTGGGAGGTAGGAACATACAAAAGAAATGGACACCAAATTCTTACCCTTAAAGATATGAAAATATAAAAGTATAGAACATGTATGCATAGAAAACATTTTAAGAACATTTGTAAAATAATGTGATTTTAAATGAACATTGTACAGTTCATATAAGGGAAAAAGGATAAGAAGTAGACTGCTTATTGGAAAAATCTGGCGTATAATAGGAAAGAATAAGAAGACAGGGGCAAGCAGGGTCAGGTGAAAGTTCTCTTGATCTGTGATCACCTCCTCAAAAAAGGGACTTCCCTACTCTATTCTTCCCTTTCAAATAAAATGCAAGATTAACTCTACCGATTTAGATTGGAGCTGGAGAAAAAACAGACCTGGAAAGGTCAAGTTGTACACCCAGTCACACTATCATCACTGACAAAGCCTGGATTAGAATACACATCTTTTGATCCTTTGACTCCCTAGTCACTGTTGCTTTCATTAAATCATAAGATGTTAATGATTTAATTGAAATAAAGACTATGTTTTGATACATTTATGCAGGCAACAGTAGAAGAAACACTATAGAATACTTGAAAGATTCAGCTACCTTCCCTCAAGCACGCTGAAATATAACACAGAGTTATGAGTCCAATTACCAATGATATTATTTTGATTCATAATTTTCAAATCTCTAAGACTGCTACAACATATAAAGCAACCCCACTTGCCTGAGAAATTAGGCAGGTGCTGATTTTAGAGGCCTTGGAACCAAAGACTCCTATTTATTACCAAAGAATTGACTGGACATATCCATTGATAACTTCATGACATAATCAGATACTGAAAACCATAATCATATTTACTGATATCTAATAATGGCAATAAACTAATAAGTGATATTAACTTTTAGTAGTTAAAATTTCCATGAGGAACAAAAGAATAAGCTATTTTTAGATTACATATCAAACACCAATCACCTTTTAGTGAAACGGCTTTAATAACAAACCCAAGTATTCACAATCTAAGGTTTATGGATATTGATTAACTACTCAAATAAAGTGCCTTCATCTAATAAAAATGGTATGTCTGATCATAGAACTGATTTGGTTTGGACTTTCATGATAGGAAATTATGCATGGAATTCTCTTGTGACTGAAGAAAAACATTCCTCCAAAACATACTATGCTATTGAATGAAAATCTATATAAATCAAATTTATCTCAAGTAACATTGTAGAGGCATCATGGCGTAATGGGACACAGTGCAGGATTTAGAGATAGGAAGAACTGGGTTCAAATCCTACCTCAGACACTAGCTGTGTGAACTTGGGCAAGTCAGCTAATCTTTGTGCCTCGGTTTCCTATTAAATAAAAGGGTTATACCTGAGGACCTCTGAGGTTTCTTGTAGTTCTGAATATATTATACTATGTTTACAGTATCATAGGATCATGTCTCAGATAGTTTCTCATTAAAAATTCAGCATTAATTCAGTGAAGATTTACTCAGTGCACACTACTTTTTAGGCTACTATGCTAAACATACAGAGACATACAACGATAAATTTAAAAGTCCTTAATCTCAAGGAGCTTTCAAAATAGTGAATATGTAATATAGTATAAGGAGTGATGAGCTTGGAGTCAGAAGAACTATGAGAAGGCAAAAGATTCTTGTCTCAGCAACCTCATTTATGAGACTTCAATTCCCCAGTTCCTCTAACTTATCTCAGTCTATGGAAGAAAGTAGGGGCCTGCCACGCCAATCAAAGACTGTGAAGGGAGTTAAGCCTGGCCCTCCCACAATATGGAGCAGGATCAGGGGCTGGACTTGAATCAGGACTACAGGACTACAAGAAGAGCTAGCAATCAGTGGGTGACACCTCCAACTTGACACCCTCAACTTGGCCTAGAATGCTGGAGAGGTAGGAGATATCCTTGCCCTAGATTAATGCCCCTGTTCAAGACTACAATAGGGTGTCTTAAGCAAGTGATAATATGATCTCAATTCCACTAACTCACTCCAAGGATGCAAGAAAAGATAGGAACTATGTCCAGGATTCCAAGCTCTGCCAAGGATATGAATCTATACCTTTGTGAATACGACCAAAACTACTGGAGAAGACAGGACCAAAAAAAAACTATTCTCAAACAGGTTTGCGGGCTACCTTACTCCAAATAGAGAGCTCACAGTGGCTGCTTGCAAGCCTCTACTCCTAATCTTGATTCTGCATTGAAGAACAGGAGTGACAGCAACTCCAGCAGTTGAAAAACACCACAAGTATCCAAGAAACAGTATGGAGAGGGTCCTTCACCAACTATTCCAAGTGTAGAGAAGAAAACTACTAATACAATGAAAGAAATATTATGGGCTGAGAACACCCTAAAATTTCAGAATAATTTTGCAATAATTAGCAGAAACCTAGGAAAAAAATTCATCATCCACAAGAACTCTTAAGAGAGTATAGAAAAAATTAAGAGTTGAAGCAAATAATAAAGAATTAGATTAGTGATCTTAAGAAAAATGTTAGAGTAAACAGCTTAAAACAGAAAGTGAAAAACTTTACCCAAGTGGTAGAAACCCTCTTCCATAAAACCATTCTATATGCCCCCCTCCTATATCCACCAATAAAATTATTGCTTTCTAGTACCCTATGATTTCCCCATCCCCTAATGGAATTCTCTTATGCCAAATAAACACAGTCAAGCAAAACCTATCAACATATTGCCCATGTCTGAAAATGAATGGCTTATTTTTACCCATTTCCACTACTCCTTTGCAACCAGACAAGTATTATGAACCAGGAGTCTATGACTCTAAGAGGGGCAGATCAGAAACAAAAGGGGGAGTGGGGATGGAAATTAGGCAATATAGAACAGGAACTCAAACTAATGGCTATGGACACAAGCAGAGACAGTGGAAAACAATGAGTCAGGGATACAGCCTGCAAGATTAGGCAATGCAGGTAAAACACCTAGGAAAAGAGATTAGGCAACAAAGGTTTAGAAAAGAAAAAAGAATCAGTAAGTACACAACATCAACAGCAAAAAGCAACTTGATGCTTTACTAACGTTTGTCTTAACAATTCCTCACTTATTTCCTACTAAGCAAAGGAAGTGGCCAAAAAATTCGGACAGACCTGAGATCGTAAGTGACAGTACTTAGATGGAGAGGAGAGTAAAGGTTTAGAAATATAGGGCAGTTCCTAAAAGTATTTCATGCTTCTTCCCCTTCCTCCTTCCAACTTATTCCCATCCTATCTGTAACTTTAGCACATTTGGGGAGTCCTTAGTAAAAAGCTCATCTACCGTATCTGGTAGAAGTTCACAGCACTATTAACTTCTGTTCTTACATGCCAGACTCCATCAGTGCTCTCAAATTCAATATGGCAGGAGGGGTTCCAGACAAGTTTGGAATTAAAATTCAAATCTATAAAAATTGACTCAAAATAATAGAATAGATTTTTCCTTATATTTTTGTATTTTTTCCTTATTTGAAGCATACACTATGTCTATAGCTAGAAGATGTATTGCTTACAATCTATGGGGCTAGTGATATTTATCATGTTATGTTCAATCTCTTTCACAGGTAAAGATCCTTCTCTACCAACCTTGAGAATCTTATACATACAGGAGATAGGTAAAGCTATTAAGAATGGGCAAGTTCAATGTGAGTGATAATATTAAGTAGAGTAGAACAATGTAACCAAGTAAGCTTTTCTTGAAGTTCTGGTCAAGTTACAGGGGA